CTTGGCCTGACTGGCACCACTACTGCACGAGGCTGGTTGGAGAGAGTTTATGGGGTTGAGTATACCAGTCTGTTACCGGCTTTTGACAACAGTGCACTGTGTTTCTGTTTGAAGTGGAATTTGTAAATAGTTGCACAGCTCAACGATATTTTTTTAAGTCTGTCTGCTTAATAGCCCACATGTCAAGAGGACCAAGAGAACACTGAAGGAAGAAAACAGATTTTTTAATGAAGATTGGGAATTGCAATATTATCTTGTTTCTGCTAAAGATAAGATGATTTGCTTGCTTTGTGATACGGCAATACCAACATTAAAGAAATTCAATGTTTATCAGCATTAGAATACTCATAAGGACCACAAATACTTTAAATTAGAGGGAGAGGTGTGAAAGGTTGTATTGCAGAAATTAAAAGATGAAAAGCAAAAGCTAAGACAATTCTTTCAGGCAGCAATAAGACTGGAAATAATGTCACTGAAGCAACTTAAAAAGTGGCTCATATACTCAGGAAATAAGGGAAGCCATTCAGTGACGTAGAAATTGTGAAAGAATGCACTGTTGAAGTAAGATTCTTAGACCCTGATAACATTTCAAAGTACAAACAACTGCCTCTTTCAAGGAGAATCATAAGTGATCCCCAGCATGAATTAGCCTTCAACTTAACAGAGCAACTTCACACAAGACTTCCAAAGGAAAACATATACTATTCAATTGGTTTGGATGAATCAACTGATACTATTGACTTGGTGCAGGTTTTATACTTCATTTGGTTCATAACAGATTTTCTTTGCTATGAAGAGTTACTCACTTTGGGCACTCTTGTGAACAGAACACAGGGAATAGATATCTTCAACAACTTTCAAGATAAATGTGAACGTAGACTGAATTTGGTAAATATAGTGAGCGTATGTATAGATGGTGCTCCTTCCATGACAGGAAAACATGAAGGGTTTATCTCACAGATAAAAAAAGTATTAACAGATCCAGATGCTCTCATTTTTTTGCACTGTATCTTACATCAGCAAAATCTCTGTGCTAAAGCTACTATTTTAAGTGACACTTTGCAACAAATTATAAGTATTGTTAACTATACTTGTACAAATGCAACACAGCATCATTGGTTTCATAACATGCTAAAGTTGAAAGATGAAGTATTCGGTGTGGATTTGCTGTATCATTCTGAAGTGCATTGGCTATTGCAGGGATAGGTGTTAGCCAAAATTTTATCTCTGTGAGAAAAGATAGTTAAATTTGATGAACAGAATCAGCAATGTGAATTATTGGAAGAAGATTTCTATAGGAATACAGCATTTCTGTGTGATATGTCAAATCAAAATAACAAATATTTCTTTGCAAGGTAAAACTAAGTCTATATAAGGTATGTGGCAAAAAATTCCAAGCATTTCGAAACAAGCAATGTTTTTTAAAAATGCTTCTTCAAAAGGAAATTTCAGATGAAAATTTTCTCTAGTTAGCAAAGGTCATGATGAGCAGGATCACATATATGCAAATCATTTGAAGAATATGCAGCTGTTGTAGACCTATTAATTGGAGATTACAATGAAAAGTTCACTGACTTTGAGAATCGTGACATCACACTCAAATGAATATTTCAGCTTCACCTCATTGATATCACCAAGGCACCTAAAGAACTACAGATGGAACTGACTGAGCTCTCAGTAGATGATACATTAAAGTCATTGTTTGGTGCTGAGAAAGATCCAATTGAAATATGGAAAAATGCAGTAAAATGCCCATGCCTTTGGCAACGTGCTGGAAAAATGCTTTCTTGCTTTTCAACCATTTATTGCTGGAAACCTACCTTGTCCTACCTAACCCAAATCAAGATGCCCTTAAGATCACAAATGACTGATATCCATCCAGAGGATCAACTGAAACTGCAGACCTCCATACTGCAACCTAATATTCAAATACTTTCCAACCAAAAGCAGACACAACAAAGTCATTAAAAGGTTAGTTACTCTTAAAATTAACAAATAGTTTTAATTTTTTGAAATTATTAAGTATATAGTAGTTAGATTTTTACAAAATAATGTACATTTTAAAGTGTATTTAATTGAAGTTTCTTGAATGTGGCCTTATTTGATTACAACTAAATTAATGTGGCCTTCCAACATGAAAATGTTCTCCACCCTGACCTAAATATTTCTGTCAAAAAATTACATCAAATATACCTGTACGATGGATAGAGGGTCAGGCACTTTTAAAAGACAAGGGTCTATAGTTAAGGTGTCTGGGGTAAGGTTCAGCAATAAAGTTACTAATTATATAGAATACTTAAAGCAAGGCCGGGC